AGTCTTATCCATCATTTTGCTTCATTTCTCTGTTTAAATAGAATAAAAGCCTTGAGATAGAAGCTTTATTTATGATTTCTCTGTTTCATTTGCAGCCGACGTGCTGAGAAGTACCTCAGAAGGGGCGGGTTGGATTGGCCTGATGGTGGCTCTTCCAGAGAAAGCATGAGGGCTGTCTGGAAATTGCCCCGTCCTCAGGTATCTTTACTTCATTCTGTAGTCATAAGTTGTCTGGTTAGTGCTTATGTACCTTGGTGTTGTTTTTTACCATTTTTTTTTTCTTTTTTAACGGCTTTTGGGATTCAAATTTATTAGATTTTGTTAAATATATCATTTTATAAAATCCAAATTCATCTTTGGTTTCATTTTGTGGCAGAACCTAATCATGCAACATGTAGACCACTCGGTTGGTGATTTAATCGATCTTGCAGGGGCTTTTGAGGTATGGCCCTATCGCGCGACTTAAAGCAAGAGAAGCTTTGTGGCATTTTTTTTTTTTTTTTTTCAGTAGGGACCTTAGAAGGTTTCGTTATCCACTGTGAACGAAAGACAAAAGGAATTGAAATAGTCAAGATTTGAAAGGGTGAAAAGTCCCTGGCAATAAAATTGAAAAGAAAATAGAAAAAACTTCAACTTAGATTTATTCAAGCAACACGAAAATGTGAAAATAGAGAGTGATACTGAAATCAGGTCCCAAAACCCGACCAGGAAGTCGGCTGCTGTCTGGGCCGCCTTCGAATGTACTGAAACTTCGATCCGGAATTTGTGTTGTAAAATATGTCTGTGTTTTTTCCAGGTTTGTGTTTGTTTAGTGATATCATTTACCTTGTTTTGGTTTGTTGTGATTGCTTGTGTGGCCGGAAATTGGGAAAATGTTTATCTGCATTATTATATACCGTTATACACAACTTGGTGTTCAAATTTTTGTTACACAGTTGGTATTTGTGTGCCTTGGTCAGTGTTTTTAATGCAACAGCCAACTTTATCCCACATTTTTCTTTTATGAATGTGTGGGTTTACGCGTTAAGCATAGACATTGAGTGCAGTTCAATCCAATTCATACCTGAAAAAAGTTAAGATATATTCTAGATAGTTTATCTTCATAAACAAACCTAGGTACTAAACCAACCTTTTCAAATAGAGTAATCATTGAAATCATATTGACGCACTATGGCACATTCAATCAGTACTCAATTCATAGAATGAAAATCCAGTACAAGCAAAACATTGAGCGGTCGCGCTGATGACACCATCACCGAAGTGACAAAGGTATTATATCAACTTCTCCGTTAACATCGAGTCGCCATCTCTGTAGCCATCGCCGCGCGCATCGCTGTTCTTGGTCTTGACACTTGAACAAATCTTTGTCGGCCTAGATTTGGGGATCCTTAAAGAGGTCGATTTCAATAAGGTTAGTTCCTTAAACTACCTTCTTCAATGTTTCAGAAAATTGTTTGGGGAGATTATGAGTGCCTTGGAATTCTCTCCTTGTTGCCTAGCAGGTTACAGACATTTGAAACCTTTGGAGAAAAGTAAATGCTTTCTGGAAAAGAAAAAAAAGATATATAGGTTCAGGTTTGGTGCCTGTTTGGACTGATGAAAACAATGATGCGAATGAACGTATGATGTTGATAAGAACCGAAAGAAGCATTTCGATACAAGGTAGGAAGGCCTGAATGTCATTTTTATGGAAACATGTTGCATACAATTCTATACTCATGTACACTATCTATATATCCTCTTGAATTACTACCTTCCCATAAATTGTAGTCAAAAACTGTATATTCTAATCTTGATCCAACCAAACTCAAGGGTACAAGAATGCATATGTTCGTTAGAAGGGGAGGTCCAAGTTACCAGAAGCGTCTTGCCCGGATAAGAGATCTTGCTTCGGCCTTCCTATTGAGGTAAAACTGTAGTAATATTCAAGTAACTACAGTTGGTTATGGAAATCAACTTGGGAAACAATTTATAACTAAAAAGACTCTTAATTATCTTTAAAAAAAAATTATTACCGCGTCCATATGTTACAAACTCCATATGGAGCATTTGTATTTATATCCGACTGGGTATTTCTCATGTTTTTGAAAGACGTTTTGTTCTTTTAAACTAGGCGAACCGGGAGGGATGTTTCTGTAAGATTCTCGTTGCTCAGGATTATGCAACGGATGAAATTGTTGATTTAGGTTTGTGGCTTTGGATTATGGTTTTAATTTGTTGTTTCTTTGAGAATTATATGGTTCTATTTTATTGCACTCCAAATTTTATGTTTATTGTGTTGAAAATAATGAAGAAAAAGTGGAAAAAATGATTCAGTTAAGGTTATTGTCTTCACAGACGGACCCAAGTGTAAGGACAACAATGTGGTAAGTTGTGATTTTTTTTTTTTTTTTTTGAAGACTAGATTGATCAACTAAAAGATAATGAGTCTATGCACAATTTAGAAAAACGTTAAAAGATAAAGAATTTTAGAAAAGTTAAAAGATAAAGAGATTTTGTGTAGTTCTCTTGGTCTCTTAATTTGGAGTGGGAAAGTAAAAGATATTCATTTCCATCGTTTTTTGGTGGTTGTGTTTTTTGTTTGACTTAAGAACCTGACTTGAATATGCTAGGGAGCAAGTTTGGGTTGGCTTGTAGCAGTGCTTCTTATTCACTTGTGTTCTCCGGGAAAGATTTTGTGATGTTGCTCTATAGTGCAAGCTTTTTTGGTGAAGCTGCTGAGATGGAGCTTAAATACTTTAATAAAAGAGAATGTACTTCAATGTTCCATGATAAATGTTCTCATGAAAGATTGTCGTTGCTTGTCATTATATTTACAGGTTGGGGTGTAGC